ATTGTTCACTCTCATTGTAATAATTAGTTTTGCATTGATGGAGTGTTTAGAATCAATAATTCTACAAAGTTTTAATTAATAATGTATCACAGTACTCTCTTAAGAAGAACTAGGCAGAATTTATCCCACTATGATAGAAGAAGAGTCACTTAGATTCTTCATGCTGGTCCTCTGACATGCAGCAAGCCAGGGAAAAATGATCTCAAGGGGTATGTCAGAATTTAGTAGCAGTTCTTCATTGTCTTCATAAATGAAGGAAAGTATTTATGAAGTTGGCAGATATATTGCATTCTTCTTTCTACATTTATGAGATTATTCCTCCTTTAAGAAGAAAGTCATGTCTGACTCTGGTGTGTTGTCCCATGTTCCAGGGAAGTATTAAAACTTCAACTGACCTGATTTCTATAGTAAAGGGGATGGAAGAATTGAAAATTTTCTGTTAAGTACAAATTCTGTCATATTCTTCTCAGAATGTCTGTTCAGATTGGATGCCTGCTAAGGCTCTATAATTTTATTCGTAGCTCATACAAACACAAATTTGTATATACTGTTTTATGTCTCAGTCCTTAAGCATGCATTATTCAGTTTGATTCTGAAAAGAAATGCAACAGTATATAGAAGGCAGAAGCAAGAGTAGCTAGAAACCTGGCAAAAACGTGCGAAAAAGGCCTAACTCAACATCATGTCGTTTTTAAAGATTTAGTAATGTTATGGCATATTGTTTCACAATTGTATATAATAACCTTTTGCAATGGCCATATAGATATTTTAGAAGCAAATTCTTTCCCACTGATAAACAATCTTTTAGTGCTGTTAAGGTTTCAGATAACATTTCATAGGTACTATATTATCAAGCATATGCTCAGACAAAACTCGGAGGCCTGTGAATAAGGCCCATAGTGTGTCCCTGGCATGTGCTCTGCAACTTCACTGTCACGTTGCTGTTTCTTTCTGCAGGACAAAAATGTACTTTAGATTTCATCAATATGGGTGACTGTTCTCTAATGCTATCCCAGTGACTCACCCACTCTCTGTCTCTCTATCTTCTCTTTTTTTTTCTTACTTCTATTGTGTATGTATTTTTATCCTTTCCACAAAAAAAATACTTATTTGAATTTACTAAAAGCCCAGCACATTACTTTTATGAAGGTGCAATTTCAAATAAGGACTAATTCTGACTTGATAGTGGTAGTCAGTTACGTGTCTCACTTTCAACATTTTGGAATAGTTGACAGAAATTTGAGATGGAATAATCTCTATTTTTAAAACAAAAATTAAACTCAGATTATTTTGATTGCAGGACTAAAGATAATGGAAAATTATTTTTAGAAGGTTTTATTATGCAGATACTAACTTGGACATGTAGAATTACTGTAGAGTTACTGGTTATGGCACTTGGTGAGGTGAGACAATAGAACTGATATTATTGAGAAGAATACTGGAGAGCTTTTAATCTTAGAAAAAAACAGAATCACATTGCTTTATCCCTGATATTTGTAGACAATCTTATGTCATCTGCTAACATCTAAATTGAAATAGTTTAGATCCTAAAAATTTCTAGAAATGCTCAGGACCAGCAAAGTGGAAAACATACTGCAACAATCAGAAGACTTTACAATGCTTTTCTGCAGCAAAGAGAATTTACTACATATGGAATTTTTAGTTAAGGCTTGTTGTCTTCACTTAATTATTGCTTGATAGAATTTCAGACTTTAACGTTAAAGTCTTAATTCTTTTTTGACTCTAACTACTGGGCATACTATTATCATATTTGCTTTATTAGGAGATATTTAGGAAGAATTTACTTGTCTGTAATTTACATTCCAGCCATTTTCTCAGTAACCCCATCATTTTTACTTATTCTCCACTGACATTTATATTCATGCAATGTTAATTACAGAATGTTCAGTAATGTTCAGAAAACCAAACTGAACGTTAAAAGCAATTAGGAAAGGAGTAGAGTATGAAAGAGGGAACATCGTTATGTCAGTATGCCTACTTGGTGAGCCCTCATCTTCAATGCCATGTGAAAATCTGATCCTTGTCACATCACTGAAAACTGAGAGGGTGAGCAGTGACAGGGGTGGTCAAAATCCTGGGTGTGTAAGTTAGTATTTCTCATTCCTTAAAGGAAGGGACAAGGCAAGTGGATAACGATGTGTGAAATCATATAGAGAGGATAAGTAAAGAACAACTATTCGTTGCCTTCTAAAGTATAAGAATTAGCTATGTCAAACTTGGTGAGATAGCTCAAACCAAAATGGGGTACGTGCAAACTGAAAAAAGGGACATGAGCTCTAAAGGCAGCTTGAGAAGGTAATTTAGCAACATTTTAGAAAGTTGGATTGGTAGACGTATTGGATCCCAAAATTTGATATCTGCAGAGGGGGATTTGAGTGGACTTTGCAGAAAACCATGGGCTACAAGAATTGGGGAAAAAACCTCAGTTTGAGAAACAAGCGAGATATCATCAGATGTTGATTGCCCTGCCCCAGCCCAGAGAGTCCACACCTTGATTTCATCAAACCTCTGCAGAAAGCCTATTGTACCTTATCTCTCCCTTTGTGTTCCCTGGATCCCTGCATCCTGTAGAACCAAATCCCTGCTCCCCCTTGTAAAATCCCCTAAGATAAAGTGGGTTTTTCCCCATGAGGTAACTGCTAAGACCCCAAATTTGTTAACCCGGGCTTTCCCCTTGTGTCATCCCCAAAAATCCCCTATTTGTAATAAATTGTAATAATGCCAGCCCCCTGTTGAATATGTAAACCCTAGACCCTTTAAAAATGAACTTGTAAGTCCAATAAACCGTTCCAGTTTCTTGCCTCCCCTGGGATCGTCTTAGTTTCATTGACCTCCGCAGACATGCAAAACGAAGTCAGCACCTCTTGATTACAAAATGTGAGACCCTTGAAGTGTTTCAGGATGAGAAACACTACTACTTGCTTATCTTGGTCCCGTGCTGGTTCCACTGTTCTCTAGGTCAGCACTGTTGGCTGCCTTTACAGAGAGAACATTGGGTGACATAAAGTATGATCCAATTTATCTTCCAATGTTTTGTATATAATTTTAAAAGGTTTTTTTAATGTAGCCAAATTCAGCAGCTGAGAAGAGTTTCACTTTGGTGACAATTTTAAGACTGCAGTGTTTCTTCATGTGCTTCTCTAGGCAGATTTACTATTATTAAGGTTTTGGCATTCTGACTGAAATGCAAGTTTCTAGAAGAGTACAAGGATTAAATTGAAATCTGCTCTTCTAGTCATGTCTTTGGTAAATAATTTTTTACCTCTATTTTTTTAGAGCAAACTTAAGTGGACAGTGTAGGAATTCCTTTTTATTTCAAGGTAGGAAGGACTCCTTTTGTCCTGCCATTGCACTTCAGCTGCTTTGATGCCTCCAAATAATTATCTTTCAATTTAAGGAATGAAATGGCTTAAGTTAAAAAAAGTTATATTTGGAGCTGTAGGAAGGCCGCTTACAAACTTTTATACTTCCTTGTTATGTCTTTAAAGTCTGCTAGCTAAAATTAGTTACTATTAGTTTATATCTGTAGGATTATTAATGCAAAGAGCTCATACTCTGACTAGATATAAACCAGGAAGGGTAAAAGAGGTAGAGACACAGTCACGTTCCTCTTTTAGACATGTTTTTTGAATGCTGACCAGCAATCTTGTATTGTTTGATAGTGCATACTGGTTATTTTTAATTACAAATGATTGATAGTATTCTGTTTATTTTATTATGTATGATTTTTCCCCTGTTCACTGTTTCCAGTATTGATTTTAGAATTCTGTAGTAGTGGTGGTTTAGCTTAAAATTCAAATCTGTCTCAACTGAAGTCATCAAGTAGAATTTTGAAGTGAAGCTCCTGTTGCTGCCATCTCAACCCTATCCTTCAAGAGGCCTTGAATTATTACCAGACTATGAATTCTCATATAAAGATCAGATGACCAGAAAAAAAAAAAAAGCCTAAAAAATTCAGTTTTGGAATGATCTGCTAATGGTATAAATCATCTACCTAAAAAGTCACCATTAACTACAGCCATAGTTTACTTAGGTAATATAAATTCTTGGTGAGGAAATTGTTCTTTCACATTTTTTCCTAGTCATCACATTCTTTCATCATTTTCTGAGTAGGGCTATGAGAGTATATAACTGTCAGGGTGCTTTCTTGCCATTTGTTTTTTATTATATCATATTTATGTCTGATGTTTGACTTTCCAAGGCCTCCATATATCCAGTGTATGAAAGAAGTAGAAACATGTCTTTGCCCAAGCAATTGCTTTCTACTGGGATTAAAAAGAAATTAATCACAAATCAAGAAACTTTGATGAAGCTGTATATTATCTTCTTATTCACATTCTAAGGCAGAGACATTCTACTGGATTGGACAGTTTACTGTAACAGCAAAACATCGAATTCCTTTTTTCCCCTCCCTCAACATTTGCTAATTTTCTATATATATCACTGTTAAGGGACCTTTCATCATTATTTTGCTCAAATGTAGAGCAGTATTTCGTCTTCCTTCACAAACTGGGATTCTGCTATCCTAATGGAGAAAGCATATTTTTAGTTTTCTTATATGTAATATAAACATACTGCAAAACCATCCCTGAAGAGAAAGTAATTGCAGTGGTTAATGTACTTGTCGTTCTCATGAGATATAATTTAAAAAAAAAAAGGAGACATCCCCTGAATTAGAACCTAACAAAGCAGGTATGGCAAGACCAGTTATACATCTTTCACTAAATACCAAGTTTAATGAATAAAGTTTTTCTGTAAACTAAACAAGCATTATATTACACAGAAATTTAAAGAAACAAGAAATGTTGTCTTCTAGAATTCAAGTAATTCTTCCAGTCTGTTACAATTTGGATTTCAACAGAAGGTGGTATTTAATTTGCTGAATTTTAAACCCTACTAGCTAGAGTTATTGACCCTGGTTCTTTTCCTGTGTCATCTGAGAAATATCTTTCTTACCTGCTTAAATTTTTGCATTTCAGGAATCTTATTCAAAGAAGAGAGGTTATGCATTGGAAGCAATATCCTCTGTGCCTCTGGATGCAGTTCCTTCAGAAAATGACAGCAGTCACTGTGATTCGATAGACATAGCAGTGACCAAAAAGCCTTGTTCCCTAGAGATAGCAAGAGTTCCTTCCTCAAGACCAGGTAAATCATCAAAAAGTCCTTTATATAATCGGTATAAGTGTAATGTTCTAGAAGGTATAGATTTATATTTTTAAGCATAAAGTACTCTGTTTACTTACCACAACATGATTATTGTCTTCCCTTAGCTACTATAAGAGCTTAACATCAGAATAAAGATTAATAGCAAACATTTGTATAAGGGAAAACAAAGCAGAGGTTTAAATACTTTCTGGATAGGAAGGTTGCAAAAAGCTGAATTAGAAATAGTTTCTTTAAGCTCAGCCTTTTGCAGGAATCTATTTACCAAGCTGTTGTTTTTCCAATGAAGTGCTTAGCAACATTGTACAACTAGTTCAAAATTTAAAGTACTTTGCATTTTCATGTTTCATAAAGGAAGATCTGCTCCATTTTTGAAAATTAGTGACTGAGAATTGAGAAAAATATTAAATGGCAGTTTGAGAGACTGTTGTTCCTATTATATATAGGTTTGAACAGCAACGAGTTAAAACAGTTTAAAAGCAATAGAATTATGCTAAGTCAGATGCATAATATTATCTGTAAGGAGACTGTTTATGTTCTCCAAAATTATATGATCTCTTCCGTCACCCTTGTTTGAACTCTTGATTAGTCACCACCTGGTACAGGATTTTCAGAATGTAGTCATTTTGCTGTAAGTAATTGGACTGAGAGTCTGCTTTGACAAATGACAGTTCTCAGCAGCAGAGACCTATTTGAAACAGGCAATTGACTTTTCGACCTGTGCTGTCTTGATTATGAGTCATGATTTGGGTAATATACAAGAATACAACCAAATGACAGATGATTGTTGACTAACATCATGTCTGTGTAAGGAGGAGCACCTTCTTGATTTCACAGCTGAACTAGTATTGGAAGAGTGCCAGAGCTGTATTGGGCATAGTATGTAGGGGCAGATATGAAGATAGAGCTTTGGAGTCTGCAGGGTAAGATGGAGTGGATCATAATTCCCACCTCTCCACTAAATTTGGGCTAAGAAAGGCTTGAAGGAATCTGCATTATGAACAGCAATCTAAGAAGCGGCACAAAATAGGATAGGAACTTTATAACATATTGAACAGAATGGACCAGAATCTGACTGCAACATCAGCATGGCTACTTGTGTCACTGAAGGCTTACTTTATTGGGGTTTTTTGGCTGTGATAATCTGAAAAATTATCAGTCTGTGCAGGACAATATTGTGGGTTGTTGTTCAGTAAAGGAAGAAAATGCCAAATTATCTTTCTTTTTTTTTTTTTCCCCAAACTTCTACTTGATTAATCACAATAAACATACATATTGCACTGGAAAGACTGCCATACCCCTACCCAATAAATTGGTAGGGGGAGTTTATTATCTACCTCCTTAGTAATGGGGCTCAACAACAAAATTTTGCATTGTAACTAGTATTTTAAAAAAGATAGAGTTTTCACTAGTTAAAATACTAGGCTTTGTAAGTGTGCTGTCTACTGGTCACAAGCATTTTTCTTAGGCATAGTAAGTCCATTAAGATCAGTCTGAAACACAGATCCTAAAAAAAGGACATTTTTAGGTCTTAATCTGGAAATACGTCTTGTGTAAGGTTAAATATAGTGTGTGTCAGAGGCCCAGAGTATAACCACAGAAGCTGTAGGACAGTCGTGAGGGCGCCCAAAATATTTATAAGAACTAACAAGACCAACGAGTTGACGATACAAATGTCCTGTAATTCCTTCTGTTTTAGTTTTCCATATACTACTGTGATATTTTCCTTGGCATTTTATTGAGAAGAACATTTGGCTGTGTAGATAAGCATATTTTAAAATGTGATTTTCTTTTAAGCTATCAATGTTAAAGTTATCTAACTGGCCTGGCTTGCAAACCATAACTGGAATCATGTTGGTGCTTATCTTGTACTACAAATGGCCCAAATTAGTAAATCATGTCACCCTCAGTTATAAGGTATTTAGCACTATGTGTAATCGTATGTGAATGTCACCCTGCCACTTAAGGTCATATAAATTTGTGGCATGAATAAGTTATATATCATGATAGAGATTATTTATTTAAAAGAAATATCTGATTTGCGTGCTTTTTTTCTCTGAATTTCCCTGTTTTTGTGTCACTGAGACATGCCGACTTTGGGAATACTGTTTCAAATTTCTGTACTATGTCATAACGTAGAGTTCTTTATAGAGCATGAAGTAGCACTTTGAACATAAAATTGCATCTGTCAGTCTCCTTTCCCTAGGTGGTAGGACAGTGTGATCAACTCTCACCATTGTTTGGGGCATTACTACCTCTTTGCAGTAGAAGTGAGACTGATTGCACTCAGCAATTAAAAATTTTCTTTTCCTGTACTGAGAGGAAAGGTCATTCTCGCTGGCCTTCAAAGCTGTAGAGCTGCATGTTGCTGCTATTATCTGCGCTGCCAGTAAACTTGTAACAGGTTGGGAATAGTCACCTTGCCAGTTGTCATTCTCTGATCTACTGGGGAGAAAACCCAGACTGCTCTGTAGTTCTCTGGAATTTTGTTGTTGAACTGGTAGGGAATCACAGAGAATTCCATGTACCAAGTGGTAAATATTTGTTAGATATCAGGGAGAAAAACTGAATAGAAAGCAAGTAAAAGTAGTTGTAAAGTTTGTTGCTTCTACTTCTGAAATGCTATGTTATGTGAGCTTTATGTTTGTTTGTAAGAAATTAGGTTTATATAGGAAGAGAAACAGTTACATTATTTTTCTATGCTGGCAGTTAAAGCAAGTGCTTCCAATTAGGACAAATTTAAGAGTAAAAAAGACTGAAGGTATGACTGAGTTCAAGTTAAACTGTTCTTTTTTCCTGTGATTGATAGGGCAGTTTGGCAGAGTGTGTTGATATCTCTTGACATTTCTACCTTTAAACTAATAGCTAAGATGTGATAGGAATATTCTTGAAATAATGCAGTCTTTGAGATAATTTTTTCTCCCAAGTAAAATATACATTTTGCTTTAAAATTTTGTAGATCGGTGTCATAAAATGAATTTTGCAAAGTAATTGATTCATGAATCAGTCTTACTAATTCTTCTGTTGGGCTGTTCCAGGACAGTATGCTTATTTCTTAAACTGGACATTTCTGCTGCTCAGTTTAATTTTCACACTGCCCTTCTATTTAAAAAAGAAGTCACACGACATATTTGACCTTGAAAAATAGTCATAAAATTTTATTAGTTTGTAAGGCATGCATTAGTATTGCCCTTTTGCTTTTAGGGATGTAATGAAATTTTGTGAACTATAGCAGCAAATCATCTTGGAAAAGGTGTAAGCTTTTAATAAATGGCCAAAGCTCAAACCTTTGGATAATTCTAATGCTAAAGTAGGCATTATTAAGTATCTTCATGAAGTTAGTGTGGTTTTGATCAGTTATCTAGAGTCCAGAATACTGGTAACAGCAGCTTAGGTGCAGCACCATGCTGCATTTGGGCCTCTGCTGTTGGAGATCCTTACAGACCTGACTTGAACCCTTGGTAGCTTGGACATTTTGTAGCATAGTCCGTCCTTGCACCTCATAATGTCATATACTTTATTTAGGAAAAATATTGAATGATGTCTGAGCTACATTACAGAATAAATATTAACTGTTTTTTTGTTTTTTTTTACTGGAATTAATTGCGTATCCATACTCAGTAGAGAGAATATATTTACCTTTATAATTTCTACTGCAGAAACTTCCTATAAGTGAGACCAGGTGGTAGTCTACCTTTTTTGCTAAATTTTTAATAATAGTGAGTGATGGCCAGTACTAATTAAAATATTTTTTAAGTCTCATTGAGTATCATTAGGAATTAGAAAGGACTATTAAAACTCTGTTTCTCATAGATATCTTGTGGAAAAAAAAACCCACAACAACCTTCTTTGGGAAATTTTATCTGTTCATGCAGATTAACAAAGGTTTTAATAAAGCATCTCAATAACAAGATATGTAAACTGCATGAAAATCATGCTTGAATAAGAGAATCCTAGTTCAAGGACCTATTTTTTTCGGTTATGTTACTTCACTGTGGCAGCAGGTTGGGGAGACCTTAATGAGCCATATTCAACTCTGGAAACAGCTGAGCTGTAGCAATGCAAAACTCAGTGTGGGCTGCAAAATTCAACTGAGAAATAAGGTAAATGCTGTGGGGCTTCGCTTATGCTGAGCTCTCAGCCACTGCATAGTCAGCAACTCCCAAGTCAGCAATTTTAAAGATAGCTCTCATATAATTACTCTACCCAGTTATATGTAAGATATGGCTTCTGTCAGGGATAAAAATTGTCTTTAGATATGTGATGTTGCCACTGGCCTGTAGCAGGCAAACATGAGGTGAGGAGTTGAAATATAAAGGAAGAGATAGTAACTATTATATGGTCCTTCACCCAGCTAAGTGTACTTTAGAGCAGTCTTGCTGTTGTCAGTCATGATGTTTCTGTTATTTAAAAATTTACTTGATTTGTGCTTAAATGTCAGTAACTTTTAAGGAAGATCATACATTTAATAAATCTGTGATTAACTATATCTTCTTCTTATAACCTCATAATCAGGGCAGGGAAATTTACAAAAAATGATTGTCACTGAATCATTACAACATATCAAACTGTCCCCAAGTTGACCAGTCTATTGCAATATTAGATTGGCAATCAGCTTGGCATCACTCTCCTGTCATTATGGTGAAAATGAACCTGAAACTTTGTAGCCAGTGTGTCAGATCACCTTTGCTTGCATTCTTGTGTCTACTTGTGTAACACAGTGTTAGGAATCTCATACGTATATCTAGGAGGCAATTCTCGAGAAACCTGAACTGGAAAAAAAGAGCCTAATTTTTATCAAAATTAAAATTTAAATATGTCTTTTACCTGGTTTCCAAAATCGTCAAATACTTGGCTTGGTAAATAAAGTTCTGTTTCTCAGATCATCAGTTTCTGTTTGCCTTCAGTAGTCCTCAATATTTGGACACTTCAGTTCTTCAGACTGATACTAAGATTGCAAATACATATTTTCTAACTTGATG